CAGAGAATTACTGCTATGTTCTACATGCATATCACCATGGTAATTGAATTGTTTGCCACTGACAATATAGTATATAGCACAAGCCTTTGCCATTTTCCATGATGTGGTTCCCAGCAAAGAGCACTATTTGTCAACATAAAATTTATAGCTGGTTGCACCTACTATAGTAGTGGTGGATGTGGTTTGAAGGCATGAAACGAAAAGGAAAAGGCGATTATCTCTTCGCTGTAGTGTTAGATGCTGAGGTCTGCTGTGTTTTAAAGACAGGGATGTGAAGAAGCAAGAATAAAGTGAATGGAAAGAGAGGCCTTGGCTGGTTAGATTCTTCAAAGAGAGTGCACAGCTGAATGAAAGGGTTGATTTCCTTCAAACACCACCACCAGGATCTGCCAAGCATTGTGGAGGTCTCCCTACCCATAGGTTATCCATTTCAGGAAATGTCTTTCCTGAAATGTCAGGAAAAGTTTTTCAGACTTTCTTATTTTTGTGGGAAGTCGGTAGGGTCTGTTGCATGCCATGCATACTCAGAGCATGACCTGGCTTGACTCAGAGCATGACCTTGCTCAGAGCGCAGGAGAGAGTATTCTTTTGCTCCTTGATGCTATGGAAAAGTATTGTCTCTGCTCTTCTGTTTCTCAAAGTAAATAGATTTTTCTAGAAAAAAATCTAAGTCCATATAACCTTCAGGCAGATAAGAGCAGTAGTAACCTCCATATAGAGGTCCCTAGGCTTTTAGACAGATGGAGAGTAGAACACAATTAAAAAGATCTTTTTTTTCTCTAACCACCACTGCTCTTTTATCTCCCTCTTTAAGCTTTGAACACAGAACTTTTCCTTCTTATTCTCAACTACTATATACAGAAAATATAAATGCCAATATTAGGCATTTATTCTTTAGGCAAGATTTTGGGTATAAGACCCATGTCTTATTTCTGTCTAACAGAGAGACAGGCTCTGCTGTCTATATTTTTAGATATTCTGTGGTTCGTAGCATCTGGGATCAGCTTTCTAGCCAATTTGTATTTAAAACAACAGACTTCTGTGTAGGGAAATCCAGCATTCAGGTATTCATTTTTATTGCCTAACATATCCTTTCATTCTAGCCTTGATGCCAGTGTGAGGTTGCTTTCATGTTCATTTTATTAGACTTGTGGAAGATTCGGGCCCCTCAGCCTCTTGCTGTGCTCAGATACTTGGCTGAAATATTGAAACATATACATTGCTCTCCAGGTTGGCCACATGCAGTGAATCTGACCTGACAGTGAGTAGTTTTGGAGCACGCAGAGGAGCCTGTGGGCCCCCGCCTGAAACTCGTAACGCAGAGCTGTTTCTTCTCAAGGGAATATTGAAATAAACTTCAATATTTATTCATTGACTGCATCCTTGTTTCCTCTCGTGACACCACAATGCATCATTATCTTTCTGCTGCTTTCATTTGAGCAGTGCCTTGCTGTATTTGCTGCATTTCACTACCCAAGAGGGTTTGCGTGAGTGCAAACCACATGCACTTGTCAGAGGGGCAGTCTAGGTAAATAAAGTCACTCCCCTACACTTAGTGTTGAGCTTCCCCTTTGGTTTACCTGGTGAAACTGCTGCTCTGGGTTTCAGCTTCGAATTTGCAGCCGTTCAAGAGCAAGAGCAACTGCTTCTGTATTGCTGCGCTGCAGCGTGACATGCAGGGGAGAGTTTCTTATGCAACAGCAAAGCCACCTTTAAGGTAGGCAACCCCTTTGTGGGTCATCACAGAAAGAAAGGAGAGCAAGAAAGGGTATCACCCAATATTACTTGCTTACAATAACTGCTTACAGCTGCAGTGGGTGGCCGTGATGAACCACAGCGTTAGTATTTTCTTGGGGGGGCAGGACTAGATGTTAAGGAAAAAAAGGCAAGAAGCAGTTTTGACAATTTGCTTTGAAAAATTGCCTGACACTACTCTGGAAACAATGCTTAAGTTTTCTGATGCTTAGCATGTGTCTTTTATTGAAATATCAGTAAACTGTTATACTCTAATTAGTAGCAAACTTGCAAATAATCATAGTTAAAGTGATGGGAGAAAAGTGTAGCGTACCAGCCATATGAGTGATTTATTGTCAACAATGTATATTAATAGTTACACCATTATTTGTCTGTAATTAAAATCACAGCAAATTCATTTAATGCTGTCCCTGTTTTACTTCTCCCATACCAGTGATTAACTTCAGACATGGCCAACAGAAGCAAAGTATGGAGCCATCTTTAGCCTTTCCTAGTTGAAAAGTCTCCTAACAATCCTGGTTTTCCACAGTGCCCACAAGAAAATACTGAGTCATCTTCTGTCCTGTTTAATCAGCTGCTTCAAGAATGAACTTCCCGCTAGGATGGAGGGAAGGGGGAGCATAAACATGTGGGTCCAGAAGAATCATTGCCTTGAATCAACCATCACCACTGAAAAAAGAATAGTACTGTAGCTGCCCTTTAACCTTTAACATTAACCAAACTTGTGTTTACATCACATAATGATGGTAATGGGACATCCACTGTGGATACGTTCCCAGTATATTTCAGACTTCAGGACCAGGCGTGTATTTGCAACATTTCCAAAGAGATTTTCAGCCAAAGCAGTTGGTGAATGTTTTTTGTTCCAGCAGGTTGCTGTAACACCATAAAAACTGCAATACTACCAGCTGTAGGATATTTGTCAGCCTGTTTTTGAAAATTGTTTCTGTTGAGCCCCAAGTAATTATCTCTCTTTTATGCTGCTTTGACAGTGTTGCGTCAGGCCAAACACTTTGCTTCTCTCAGATCTGCCCTCCCAGCTGCTTTGCAGAGGTGGAGCAGAGCTGGCCAGCAGGGCAACACCTTCTCCACAGCTACATCATCCCCTCTCTTCTTGAACTTACACTTTTCTCCTGCTCTCGTTGAAAGCACTTACCTAGTTTCTAGCAATTAACTGCAGTCTGCTAATGTATTCTGAAATGCAGCTTGCCCTTTCTTATACTAGTCAGATGTAACTTACTTTGTCTTCAAAGCAGGCAAAAAAAAATAATTTGAAATAACCTTTTTGTTGTAAACTGTCAGTAGGAGCAAGGTAAACTTTCCATCTCCAGGCTGGGAAGCACAAAGTTGATACATGATAGCTTGACAGAAATGTAAACTATCAGTGCCTTGTTTCTAGGAGGGTTTAATGTTGAGATGAGCATCTTGATAGATATCTGTGTGCTTGAGCACTTTTTAAATATACATACAGTCTCTGTTTCAATCAAAGAGTTATAATAAGCCTGATTTCTAACACAAAACATTTTCCAGGAGAGGGATGACCTGGAGCTTGCTGAATACCTCTGTGCATCGTTAAATGCACAGTTCTGCTACTCTGGGATATCCTTCTGTCTAGTACTTGATCTCCAGCTTCTCTTTTCTTTTCCTCTCAGATTCTTCTGCTTTCACTGAACTGAGTAGTTACCTTTGAAAGTAGCAGCTGTGTGGGCTCCATTTGAAACTAAAAATACAAAGGTTACTACAACTGCAAGTATTTAAATAAGTATAGCACTTGTAGAAATTTCTCTTTCTTACAGGAGCTAGTATTCCAGCATTTTTTATTGATGGAGATCAAGACAGCAAGTCTATGAAATGCCCTTCTTTCTCTTTTGCAAGGATTTTATGTTCAACTTACTGTTTTGCTCCTTGTTTTACATTAACCTGTCTTATTTGGCTTACTGAACAACTCTTGCTTTCTTCTTTTCCATCACTTTGTTGGTGTTAGTGTTTCACTCATCACACCCCACTTCACTGTCCCTCCTTCCACTTGACTTGGCCTTTTCCTTTTCACAACAGGAGGCGAGTTCGACATTTGGACAGCTGGGCCTGCTGTCGGATCTCATCCTCTTTCTTCCCTGTTTTGCTGGACTTGCCCTGTGTTGCTGAGCCACCTTGGTGGCACATATGGTAGTTGCATCTCTGGTTGTTTCTACAAGAATGTTCTGCTAAACAGCTCGGTGGGTTTTCAGGCCCCTGCCCCACCTCCCAGCACACTGGTGCAGAAGCAGGTTTCTTATCATCACCCCAAGGTACATCCACAAATGGGTTAGTGTTTCAGTGCGCTGCACCTTAGCTATGGGACACATCAGTGCCAGAAGAGCTGCAGAGAAGCTGCCATGTCATTTTTTGACTCAGATATGAATGTCAACATCATTCTGTCCTTTTCCTACAAATGCAGACTGAAAAGTAGAGGTTTCGATCTATTTCATAGTGACGTTTTCAGCAGAAGTTGAGTGTCTTCTCCAGGCTGGAGACTGGATAGCAAGGCTTGTGAGATGCCTCCCATTAGCTAACAGCATCACTTTCTAGTGCTCAGAGCTCATGCCTTGTTTTCCTTATGTCTGTCACCCCTGGTCCCTACTGGTCCTAGGGGCAGCTGTGCACAGTGTTCCCTAGAGACAGCCACCTTTGCACCAAAGTGAGGGAGCTGGAGCTCAGCAGGGCTCAGCTGTGGCAGCATCGCCCTCCTTGTGTGCTCTGGTGAGATGTTAACGCAGAGCTGTGCTCATGTGAAGTTAACTTGTGCAGAGCTTGTTGGCGGTATCTGCACAGCCTTGCTCTTTGTCATCCATGCCTGTGATGCAGGTGATCTGTCACTCATGTTTTTTTTTCTACCTAGACTTCCTAGTAGAGAGTCAGTGACACAGAACTGGTGTGTGTCCTCCTGTGAGAAGCATTTTAATTCAGTAGGCCCAATACCTTCTCTCAAAGGTTTTTGTTTCAATGTGCAAATCTGGCAGAGGATGGAAAAAGAGAACGACAACAGAACCAAACTGGTGTAAAATGAACTTTAGGAAAGCTCTCTGCTAAGACTGAAATTCAGTCCCACCTCTCCAGACTATGTATTTTAGCATTTAGATGTTTTTCTGCCAACAGGAACAAAATTAAACAGCAAATTAAAAAATGATCCAAGAGGTATTTGCTTCTTGTATTTGCATATGTAGGCACATGTATTTATAAGCCCTTTTTTGATTTGTATTTTGTAGGACAAAGAAGGTCAGCCACTGCTACCGTATCACCTACCGCCACCCGGAGAGGACTTTAACTCAGGACGAGGTGCATGACATCCATCAAGCTATTGAAGCATCAGCAGTCCGGGAACTTGGGGTTGAAGGCAGATTCTAGCATTCATGATCTGAAGCCCTAATGACATTAGCTTTCTATTTCTTCCTTTTTTCTTATCTTTTGAGAGGGGTAAAGTGATAAGGAAAGAGAGGGGTTTTGTGACTGAGCTTAGGACATGGAAACCAATTGATAAATGGGCAACACCAGAACTTTCAGATAATAAACATTACTACTGAGAAATCATTGTCAGAGTGCTGGCACCTTATTCTAAGAAGGGTGGGAAAAGCAGCAATGTAAGATTTCCCTCCTGTTATAATAAGTTCACTGCCTGGTGGGTCTCTGTGTTGTTAATTGGTCCCTGGGTTCCATTAAACTGCAAATAGTTGGCATTATTTCTGTGTTGACAGACTCTTCTGTCCATGTAACAAGTGAAGCAAAACAGAAGCACAGCTTATCTCAGGGAAGAAAAACTATTTGATCCCTTTTTAATAAGAAATGGTGCATTTTGCTTCAAGAAACCATCTGGGAAATGCAGTTTGCAAGGTTTGGCACTCTTACCTTCACAGCCTCCAGGTTTTGCTTTCTTCTGCTACAGAGGAGGCAGCATGGCTCTGGGGCCAGTCTCAGCTGTCTTCTAGTACTGGACTGTTGGATGTGTCTTTCCCATTGGATCCCCTACTCCCGCAGAGCTGAACAGCACCTCTTGCCATGGCATGCTGAGCTGTGTGTATTCCCCAGGTGAGGAATTTCCTTGTTTCCTGATAAACATGATATCTCCTGATATTTCCTGATATTTTCCTGATAAAAGCTCCAGTGAAAGGTAAGTCTGGTCCCTTGTCACCATCAAAGGTTTGATGTCACAAGGGTAGGATGGTAGAAGAAAGAAACTCTTCCTCACAATGCCCTGAAATGCAGCAGCCTTGATCTCTCACTGCATCTTGCTTTCTAGTAGCAGAGTCTGCTCAGAAATTTGACCTTTAAGGAAGGAATCCAAACTAAAATGAGATCTCCTACTATTTCAGGCATCTGTCACTTCACATGATGCTTGGCTTTTCCACTGCACATTATAATAAGTAAATCCTGGCAATGGTGTGATGCTAGGTCCTGTAGAAATGTTCAAATGGTCTGATAAATTCTTGATGAGCTATAGCAGATGCTGATAGGGAATGTGGGACCTGCTTTTGCTTGTAATGGTATTTCATATAGTCTTGCAGGTCACATCTGGTTGCTGTGCAAGGAACACTCCCTCCTTCAGGGAAGAAGGCAGTAAAAGCAATGCAATAAACAGCATCTAACACTGATTTATACTATATCAAGAAACATCTGTTCAGCGAGCTTGTGCTCAACCATAAGATGCCAGCTACTATTGCAGATGTGACAGAAGCAGAGAGCTCATTTTAACTTCATTACTCAACATATTTAGCTGTGTAAACAAATCCTAATCTAAATCGCTGTTGTGTTATCCAAATAACTTCATTATGAAAACAATATGCTAGACTTTATATGAGGCAAACAGAATGGGTGTCATTTAAGCAACAGAAAAACCTGCTTGATTATTTTTAAACAAGTATCTACTAAAGCTCCTAAACACAGCCTAACCCAGTTAATGTTTCTCTGTCTCCCTTGTCCTCTGCCTTTTTGGATGCTGAGTGGGGAGCACTGAAGAAGAGAAGCACTCCCCTGAAAAGGTACCCAGCACTAATTGTTCCAAGACAGGGCCTGATCCATATTACCATAAAGGGCAGCAGATTACATGGATGTTAACTGATGGCACTGCATTTGGAAAGAGTACAAAAATCTTCCTTCTGCATAGAAGTTCTCTTGGGAAACTAGGTCGTCTCTGGGGTAGAGTACATTGTGAGATTCCACTTATTACATATGAGGGAAATTTCTACTTTCTGCTCTCCAAATCCTTCAATTCTTTTCTAATTCTGATCAGCCAGTCTTGGGGGGCAGAAGAAAGTTGGGGAAAAGCAAGGAGGAAAAACTTGGACAATAAGCCTTTGTGATTGCAGCAGTCATTTATGGTTGCTCAAGGACCATAAGCCAGCCAAATCAGCCAGCCTCAAACCTCTAATTAACATGTCCAGCCATTATCTGACTGGTGAGATGAACTCTGGTGAGCAGAGGCTCTCTACAGCAGTCAGGTCTTGTTGGAGTGACATTATTCTTAGAAACCTCTTGGGCTTGACATAGAGTGGAAATGTAAAGCTTTCTCCAAAGCTGACTTGAAACCATGGAATCATCTCCTAGATGAGATGTTTCAATAGCAGCAGCTTTCAGACAGAAATACAAACCAGTAAGAGAAGAAAGATGCAGCTTCTTCAGGAACAAACTAGACTCAGTTATATGATGGATTTTAAGTCCTATGAAATCAGATAAGTTGGCTTTGAGCATAGTATGAATACTTGAGAGTGTTTAGATTAGATAAGCCTTTGTCAAATATATTCTAGCATTAATCTAGCATCAAAAAAAAATTTGGCAAAGACTCTCCACTACTAGCAAAATAGGCTTGGATTAAAAGGCAGTAGAGTAGCATCTTAAATGACTATCTAAGGGTGTACTAATCATAATCTATTTTACTGCTGACCAGAGGCAGATGATGCTGTCAGTACCTCAGCAGCTGGCCTGATCCCCAGAGGGGGTGCAGAAAGCTCCACTGAAGAGGGCCTCTGGTTTCATCCTCAACTGACTCTGTCAAAGGCCCTTCACATTTTATTTGGCTTTTCTTGAGACATATTTAGCATAAAGATATGCAAACAGCTCAAAGCCTAGAGACAACACAGCTGCCAAAGTTAACCTGCTGATCTCTGTTGCCCTGCAATGTCAAATGAGCATCCCCTTAGCCATACACTGTTCCACAACACAAAAAGCAGCATTCACTGTGAAAATGGATGGACCACTAGTTCCAAAATATGGGACAAGTGAATGGGATAGCTTTCCAAATATCACTGGTATCATGGCATGTGGAAATACTAAGAGGAGTGGCATTTGAGTAATTAGTATTCTGACTGATTGGTGTAGTATCAAGCACAAGACCCTGCGTTTTTATTCTTTAATCAGCTCTCTGTTCTTTTTTGTGTGCCATTGTTTTTTATGTTAGCATTCTTTAATAAAAGAGGAGAAAATTAGTTTTAACCAAAGAAGCAACACCTCCTCATGAGAACTGCCTCTTTTTTTTCTTTTTTGTTTTTGTTTTTCTGATACAACTGTGTTTGTTGTTTTAATATTCTGGAGATAGTTTGTAGTTTTTGTTGGTTTTTGGGTTATATCTGATTCCTGAAAGACTAAAGGTTTTGCTTTAACACCCAGCTTGGGTGTTAAAGCAAATTTACAGTGCACTGAGATTTTCTAGTTTTTGATAATGTGGTTAAAGGTACTGCAATGGAAAACAGTTGTGAGTTACCTAAGCAGTAAATTGCCATATGTTTTACCCTTGAGACTTCAGTGACCTCTGCCATGCATAAACTAGCATTGCCACGTACAATCAAACAGCTGCACTAATCTGAAAACAGCCTTCAACCAAGAATCCAACATAGACTGATAAGCCACTGCTGGTAGTCATTTAACCTTCCATTTAAAGCGGTCATATTACTTCTGGTGTTTCTGCAGATTGCTGGCCATGATCAGCACCGAATATATCTGCTTCTCACTGTGGGCAGCTGTACTGATTGTTACCAGTGTGGAAAAGTCAGCCTCAGCCCTTGAATAATTTCATGTAGAGCTTAGCTTTTTGATTAAAAGAAAAAAGTTGGGAAAAAAATGTTATGTGTTTTTGTTTATCCACGGTGACTAACATATTTCTGTTATCTCAGGTAAAACCCTGGACAAGACTCTTTGGTGTTGCATTGAAATCGACTGAGGGAGTCTCATTTCTGAAAGGATAATTAAGTCAGTCTTATTGAGGTCATATTTTGGTAAAATTAAAAAACCTTTTCCTCACAGTGAGTTGACTGAGGGTTGGTGGATGCTCATTGGTTATGCTATGGTGAGAAAGCACTTTCAGCAGTAAAGGGCAGTGTCATCCATAAGCACAGAAATAAGTGGTATTATGGACATGAAAAGTTCTGCTGAATTCAGTGTGAGCAGATAAAATGATTGTGCTGGAGGCTTATTTCTTGATACCACTGAACTAATTTTCCATCAGAATTGTTACCATTTGAGAGAGAAAATGTTTATTTCCACTTCATTTTGACTCTTAAATAAGTAGTTGCATTTTTAAAGCACGGACCTTTTACAGATATTTGCTGCTGTGCATCTTTGCTAGGAGAAAGCTCCTTATGTAAAATGAATTTGCTTTCTGCATATACCAAGCCATATTGATTTATTCAAATCCTGATCAAATTTTTACTCAAATCCTGATCAAATTTTAAGACTGTGAGTGTTGTCTCCAAATGGCCTCCAGAATTGAAGAGCGGTTATGAGGACTCTGAACAAATCTGCGGGACACACAGGTATCTAATCCATGGCACTTATTATCTGCTTTAAAGTATGACTGCATCTGAACTTGAAGCTGAGTGTCTCAGAAGAGAAGCCTGCACTTCAGCACAGAGTGCAGGCATATGCTGGGTGAAGGCATTGACTTCTCCAAATCTGTTTGTTGTATAAGGTTTGATCATCATTAACATCTGATGCAGTCACATGCTTGGCAGTTTCCATGCTCTTGTGCTTTTGTCAGATGGCCTCTGTTACGCTATTTGTGCCCGCTGCTAACCAAGTAGAGCCTGTTTTAGTCTGCCTTTTATACTTGGAAAACTGTGCCTGCCATGACCTAGCTTTCTCGTTTTAGTTTTGCTTGCCTTCTCTTGCAGATCTTGCTCATTCACGTTTAATGTAACTTTGGTGAAGGAAGTGTGTCAGGCTGTAGGCTGGCAGATTTAATAGCCCATGGCCTAAATCCCATGCTCCCACACCACCTTATTGGCAAGGTCTCTCTGTGCTTGTCCTCTGGAAGGAGGTGATTAACACACAGCATGAGGATTTCTGCCTCTGCCTGCTCAGTAATTTACTGGGCAGCTCTGCCATCATCTAGAGCAGCTGCCAGTTAAATGGGCAGTAGCTTGTGCTCCTTTTATTTCAGTGCCTGCAAGCTTACATGTATCACAGTACAATACAGAAGCACTGCATTGGTATTTGCAACATATAAACATCAATTAGATACGTCTGGTAATTTGGAGGCGTTTCTAAGTAAAATCCC